CTTTCTACCACACCTGTGGGCTCCTAAAAAAGGCCTGAATATGTTGCGACGACTGATTCTATTTCTGGGGGTGTTTTAACGACCTCCCCTTTTTCAGAGACAAAGACTAGATACATGCCCTCCTCGCGATTCTGCTTATAGTAATAGAAAGAGGAGGCACACATGCAGCCCTAGTTTTCCACTAGATTGCTAGCTTTATACTTTTGCAGTCTTAACGGTCCTACTGTTTGGCAACTTGTGTATCAACACCTTCCTATCCCAATCAAACTGAGGCTGAGCAACCTCGAGGTAGTACATGTTGAACGACAGTTCGTCGCTAACAAGGAATGAGATTTTATGTCTCACGTCTCCTCCTCCATAAGAGAAGGAACAGACTATGTCCTTGACATAGTCCTTTACTACCATTTGGTGCTTGTTGGCTAACGTAGAAGCTACAGTTCTGCTAAGCCGCTACACTTGGTCCCCTAAGCGCAGTCTATCCACACAAGCACGGTTGATGAAGTTTCGTGTAGAGCCTATGTCTGTGAAGGCGCCCACCTTGCGGCCACCTACATCAACCTCTACCACGATGTGTTCATCTTTTGGACCTCTACTAATCATCGCCCAAGAGTCTTTGGGGTCCTTCCCTGACCACTCAGTCTCAAACTCTTCAAGGGCCTCAGACACATCTCTCGAACAAAGCGTCGGTGGGTCTGAATGTGTCTGCGGGGCGATACGTGGGTCACTAGCCCTGACTAACACCTGAAGTGGGGAAGGCAACATTACCACTTCAGCGCGAGTAAGAGCGGCTAAAACTCCTACTGGCCCGAGGTGTTTCCCTGCGAAGTGCTCGCAAAAGCACTGCCAGGGTTCGATGATAGTCCCACCACCGTTGGTGAGGCTACCCTCGTTAGGACTTTCTTACCTCGGCACGTTCTGGACGTGTGGCCATAGTTGCCACGTTTCATACACATATCCCTAGCAACTCGGTCCCTCCACACCTCATACTCTAAACCAAGTTTCACCCAGGCGGGTGTACCTTGGTCGCCCTAGCCCGTGGACCATACTACCTTCTTTTTCCCGGTCCCCCAAGCCTTTTGTTTGATGGGCGCCACGACTCCCCCATCCAAAGTCTTGCTGGCCCCATCATGCTCTGTCTCATCCCCTAGATCTGGGAACTCGTCAATCTTCGTCGTTTGACCATCGTGGTCAACGAACATTAACTGACCCTTCTTCTTCCCGTCCTGGGGAAGTCTCTTCTTCCTACCATCTCCTTGACTCTGACGCGCGGACCCTAGTTTTGCCTCTATATATAAGGCCTTCTTGCTGAAGGAGCCGAAGTTGTGCTGCTCGACATAGGCCTCATCCACCAGCTTTGTCCTAACCTCTGAAGGCAAACATCTTAGGTAATCTGTGGGGAGAACCTGCTGGTCATAGCGCACACCAGGTACCACGAGCAGACGTTCTACGGTATCCGTGAGCTCTCGAATATTCTTGTACCTTCTGGCACAAAGACTGTTGATTGTGTTTGTGGCCTTTTGAGCCCCTTGAGGGTCGTGCCACAGAACCAAGGACTTGCGACATAGCATCTATGTACTAGTCCCAGCGGGTTGGCATGGTGACCGTGACCCGAGTGCTTCGTCCAGGGCCCTTCAGAGGCATCGCCCGTCTCCCACCAGCTTGCTGCCCAGGAAGAATGCCGACTCTTAAGGTTGAGCGCTCGCGGCACCTCACATCGAGAGGACTCTCAAGACAGAACTCACTTTCTCACGGTAAGAAGCAATGAAGAGGGTAGATAAGGAAGGAAGCAACGTACCTCATAATGCTGCCCCCAACCACAGATTTCTCACCGGCAACCTGATGTGCATTTATGATGAGCGGTCTTTGCCTCGGCACAACCAACAGCAGAATGCAGTTCCACCTCGGCTTAAATGCCACATCAGCGAGCTCTCATCATCCAGCGTACACCCCTAATGTCACCACATAGCTTCCTGGCGCGCCCACAC